TTCTTGGAACATGCCAGTGTCTGTCTTTAGCCAGTCTGGAGCAAAGGCCTTGTCTGTTAGTTGTCTGTCTTTATTCTCATGATGAATTCCCAAAACCTCACTGACCTGAAAAGTGCTTTCTGATCTTCTATACCCAGTTCAAATGTCATCTCAAGGAGCGTTCCCATATACTCTCATCTCCAGTTAAGATTACTGTTCTCCTTTCTGTATCCCCATGGTAATAAGTTATACTTATAGAGTACTTAGTATGTGCCAGAAACTTTTCTAAGCCCTTTATGTATATTAGTTTATTTGATCCTTACCACACTCTCAACAGAGTGGTTCTTCTGTAGGATTGTTGGCTCTGTTTCACAACTAAGGTAGCGAAAGCACTGAAGCGTAACTTTCCAGAGGTTTCACAGCTAATGGGTGTCAGTCAGATCCAGTAACGGAACCCAGGAAGTGCCGTTCCACCACGCCTTAACCAGCAAGATGCCCTGCCTCTCAGGACCTTGTGTTGGGTGCACTGAGTGTCTCGATTGCCTTGTTTCTGGATTGTGAACTCCTGGGGGCACAGCTGTTTCTTTTTCCTCTTGTTACCCTCATAGACCTTAGAAGTATTTTACAAGTAGTGAGTGCTCCGTAACTGATGAAATTTACTGAGCCCATCTTCCTGCTTTTGATCCCCTAGAAGGAACCCTTGCTTGTACAGATGGCTGATCCATTAATAGTGGTGTTCAGGGTAAGTAGGGTTTAGCTCTCCTCACTGTTCAGAAACAAAGCTGAGGCAGCTGCTGTGGGAACCTCTGGGAATAAAGTGCCCTTCCTGCCCAGCCTGGGCTGCTCTGGGTACTGTGGACCTAAGTTTCAGGGAACTATGGAGATCAGCATCATAAAATGCTCAGAGAGATAAGCAACACTGTCTTGATCTTACTCAGTGGGAGATGTCACGGGGACTAGGTTGTACCAGTGGGTATGTTCATGGGTTACTTGGTGCTTCTGTCAAGGAATTTGGAGTGCCTTCTAGACATCTGGAATGTTCTCTTTGCTGCTCCTGAGGCAGGCCTATGGGTCTAGGAAGGATTGATCTCTCTCTCTTTCTGATACATTTGCTTTTAATCTTTATTATTGTGATTACCAATTGTGATATAATGAATTATGAAAAATACATATCTGGTCATTCATATGGCCAGATATATATTTCCCAGGTATGTTTGGTCTTCATCCACAGTTCTGAGAACTCTGCAGAGTCTTAAAGGTAAAATGGGTGTTTTGTCATGTTAATGAGAGAGTTTTGGACACCCGCACCCGAGGGTGGGGGCTGGAGGTTAAACCCGCCAATGGCCAATAATTTAGTCAATCATGACTATTCAATGAAGCCCCCACAAAACCCCCAGAGAAGAGCTTCTCTCTCTGCTCTGCTCGGTTGGGTCCTGCAGCTTAGTCGGAGAGAGCTCCTATGCTTGGGGAACCAGAACACCTCCACGTGCCCCCCAGCCAGGCCCCAAGCTCCCTTATTTGGGACCCTGCCCTATGTCTGTCTTTATCTGGCTGTTAACTTGTATCCTTTGTTAAACTGGTAAACATGTAAGTGTTTTCCTAAATTCTGGGAGCCCCTCTAGCAAATTAATTGAATTTAAGGGAGAGGTTGTGGAAACCTCCAATCTGTAGCCGGTAGGTCAGAAGCACAGGTTAAGTGCCTGGGGCTTGTGACCCGGCATCTGGAGTGGGGGGGGAGGTCAGTCTCATAGGACAGAGCCCTTTACCAGGGGAATCTGGTACTGTCTCTGGGCAGATAGCATCAGAATTGAGTTGAGGTCTTGGATACCCTGCTGGTGTTGGAGAATTGCTTGGTGTTGTGTGTGGGAAGACCCCTTCCCACACATGCATATTGGAATTGGGTCTGGGAGCCTGAATGGAGTTATACTACTATTACTGCTGTGTATAATATTGTTATTATTATACATAAATGTAGGGAAAAAATAGACCATTGCATTTGGTGTCGAATGAGTGGGAATAACACCATATTATTTTTAATTAACAAACTTACACATACTTGGAACATTCGGGAATAATGCAGAAGTTTTACTTTCTGGAGATCACCACCATCACTACTTGGTTGTGTTCCCTTAAAAACTTTTTTTCACACTAATCTATACAAATTATCAGTTTATTAAAAAACCTAAAATGAGATTATTCTTAACATTTTTTTCTGCAACTTTTTTTTTTCTTTACATGAGAGTGCATTTGGCCATCTTATTAGGAAGGCATCTGATACTGTTTAAGCTTCATTTAAATTGGGTCTGCACAGTCAGCCTGGCAGTGGGTCAGCACCAATGAAAGAATGCTCGCAGCCCGTGTTTCCGTGCCTTAATGTTTCCAGCAGAGCACCTCTAATGGCAAGAGAAAACATGTAACACAGGGGCCTGGGTGTAACCTCACGTACCTGGTGCAATGCAGATATCTTTGAAGTCAAATGTGATATTTTACAGTTTCATTTTATTTTAATTCATTATCTGTCACCAGGTATAACTGATAGTTTAGGGAAATGCACTCTATTCTATTGCTTTCTATACCTCTGGGTATACATGGCTCAGTGTGAGAGCTGCAGCAAGTGTGTTGAGGAATATCAAAGTTCTGGGTAGACAGATAAAGAATTGTCTCAAGGAACTCTCTTCCTTTATCTGCATTTTGCCCTTGAGATTAGAGAGATTCAATAGCTTGCCCATCATCAACACAGCTTCTAGGTGTTGGAACCTATATGTGTCTGTGTTTGTGTATACCTGTGCAGAACCGTGCATGCATGTGTACAGGTGTGTGTACACACAGGTGTGTGTATGGGCTGTGGTGCAGGAGAAGAGCACCTCCTTTTTGCTGCAAAATGATGCTGTGGATTAGATCCAGCCTATCCGAGAAGATTGCCAAGCAGCACAGACTTGGACTGCCTACCTGGTGTGAGTTATGCTTTGATGTTTGTGTAAATGCCAGTTGCTTCCAGCCAGTCCAGGTGGTCTGAAGTCAGAGGGCTGCCTTTCTGTGGAGGAACTCGGATTCCCATCAGCGCCGTTGCCTGTAGCTAAGAAAGCTACCTGCTGGAATGGCTGGTTTCTCTTTGGCCAACATGACTGGCAGCGAGCTTTGAGGGTTAGGTTCAAAGTTAGCCACAGAAGAGGCAGTGATAGCTCTGGGGTCATTGGGAAACAAAGGCTGCCCAGAGAAGATGGAGAGAGATAATAAACCAAGTCATGTGACTGAAAACTGAGATTGTTTAAACCAGAGGAAAAGAGGTTCAGAGGACAGAAGGCCTGTCTAGAGAAAGGAGAATTTTGCTGCAGTACATAGGGGCAACCCTAGGGTCCCCTAGGTTGGAGTTCTGAGGGAACATGTAAGTTCATTATCAGGAAATTAGAATGACTGGTAGCAAAATGGGATGCCATGGAGGGAGGAGACAGTATATGTGAAAGTGCTAATTCATGTCCCCAGTGGGTTCTCTCACCCATACCTGGAAAATGTTATGCTCAGACTGGGCACCCACCTGCCAAGTTCATTGTTGAGTGTGGGGGTTCCTTCATAGTTGGCAGGACTTAAAAGATCTTTAACAATCCCATTCCACGCTGGACTTCTGGGCCGCAGGGCAGTTTTGGCCACTCTGTGGACCAGTGCAGACCTGTGACCCTGCAAACCAGGTTGGGAGTTGTATTAGTTTGCTAGGGCTGCTATTAAAAAGTGCCAAAACCAGTGACACTTAGCGTCTCAGAGTTCTGGAGCTAGCAGTCCACCATCAAGATGTAGGCAGTGCTGGTTCCTTGTGAGGGCTGTGTGGGAAGGAGCTGTTCCAGGCCCTCTGTTTGGCATGTTTATATGAAATTCTTCCTCTAAGTATGTCTGTCTCCACATTTCCCCTTTATAGAAGGACATTCGTCATTTGGGAGTGGGACCCACCCTAATGACTTCATTTTAGCTTAAAAACCTCTGTAAAGACCCTATTTCCCAATAAAGTCACATTCTGAGGTCCTGGGGGTTAAGACTCCAACACAGGAATTTTTCGGAGATGTAGTCTCTAATGGGCAAGCGCACTCCCACAAGTCAAGCCCCTGTGGTCGTGGGCTGGGCCTACTGGGTGCTGCTGGGGATTCCCTTGGGGTTTTTTAATGGCAAGATCACCTCTCCCTGGAAAGTGTCACCGCAGGACCAGGCTGTGAGAGAAGGTGAAATAGACCTCAGAGGGCACTAGACCTCCCTGTGCAGACTTCACCATGTCCATCTCCAGAATTCGTTCATGTTCTCACACTGAACCTCCATACCCACGGAAGAGTAACTCCCCATCCCTCTGTCCCCTCAGCCCCTGGCAGCCACTCTTCTGCTCTCTCTCTTTGTACTTAACGACTCTAGGTCCCTCATAGAAGTGGAATCATATAGGATTTGTCTTTGTGTAGAGGATAATTTCACTCAGTGCTCAAGGTTCATCCATGTTATAGCATGTGTCAGAATTTCCTTCCATTTTAAGGCTGTATGATATTCCATTCTGTGTATACACATTTTATTTATCCATTCATCTGCAGATGGACGTTTGTATTGCTTCCACCTTTTAGGTATTGTGAATAATGCTGCTGTGGGTGTATAGACTTTAAAAAAACTTTGTGATTAAACATGTACATGTCTATTATGGAAAAATTCAATAGATTGTCAAGTAGAAAGCACCCTCACAGCCCAGGTACTACTGTGTGTGTGTTTTGGCCTATGCCCGTAAAGTAAGGTCATTCTATACACACTGTTATAGAAACTGAGCCATTAAAAAATGTTCGAATGCTATGAAATTGCTCAGTAATTTCCCTGTTTTGAGCAGCAGGGTGGTGAGTGCCAATGATAGGCCAGGCAAAGGCTGGTCTTACCCTTTGTGATTGGTGTGATCACCCCTACTGCTAAGCAGGGGAAACAGGCTCTGACACGTGCAAGGTCACCTGGTTCTTTCTGCCCCAAATACGGGTCCATAATTGGCCTCTCCTCTCCATCTCTCCTAGGCAAATGTCTGCAGATTGCGGCTGACCATACCTCCTGAGAGTCCAGTTTCTGAGGAAAGTGAGAAGAAAGTTGAAAGAAAAGAGCAAGTAAGCCATCTTGGAGGCAAAGCTCAGACAAGTTCTAATCTGGGCACTCTTTTATTTTGACTCTGTCCCTCCTGCCCTCTCTCCAGTCTATTCAGAGCCTGAATGTCAGCGACTCTGCTGATGAGAGGCCCCCAGACATGGCCTCCCCAGCATCCACCTTCCCAGAAGTCAGGCTGCTTGGCCTGGCCGACTCTGCCTGCCTTGTGCCCCTGCTCTTGTTCCTTGGTGAACATATGCTCTCTGTTGCTTCAAAGCTGTAGGGACCATGGCCTTAGCAACAGGTGCTGTGACAGGGAACGAGTTTTTCCTGAAAAACTCAGTCCGGTTGAGTGAAAGGGCCCATTGTCAGCCACCGCTGGGGCCAGAGCCTTTCTCAGCGGCTGAAACTATAGAAAGCCCAGTTCATGCGGTGAGGCTTCTTGGCGAGGAAAAGCACAGCCTGTAGCTGTGCAAGGACCCCTGGCTGGGGGAAGAGGAGACCAGCAGAAGCTGTGCCAGCTGCTGGGCTACGTGCTGGGTTGTGAAGATAAGTCTGACCTTGTCCTTGCTTTAGAGGAACCGCAGGTTTTCAAGTGAGACAGACCCATAAATAAACGATGATGTAGTATTTCAAGTGTTAGGATCCAGAGTTGTAAGAAGGGCTTTGGGAACACAGGGAATAACTGTCTGCTTGAGGGGTGACATTGGAGCAGAGGCGTAAAGGGTAAGTAGGAGGACCTGCTCACCTCCAGGCTTGTGGTCCTGGGCAAGCCATTTCACTCATTCACAATGATGGGGTACCTCCTGTAATCTGGGCACTAGAGTGGTGGACGAAGCAGTACACAAAAAATGCCTGTCACTCATGGGAAGAGAATGAAAATTTAAAAAACGAAGCACATTTTATAGAGTTTAGAAGGTAGTAAGTGCTGATGGACACAAAGCCAGAGGAGGGGATGTGAGTGCCAGGGGATAGGTAGTACCTTTTCTTGTGCATGTATTTCATATAAAGTAAAACAATAAAATGATATAAGATGACATACTTTCATAAGCAGAGTCCTGAGTCAATGACTTCTTCGTTAATTCCAGCCTTGCTTTGAAGTTAACCAATGATGCAGTCACCAAAAAATGGAGCTTCCCACTGACTAGGAAGTGGGTGATAATGTCTCTAAATGTACTGTATGTCTTTGTCTCTCCTTCCTCTCTCTTGCTTCCTTCTTTCCCCCACTTTCTACCAAGGATGAAGAGCTGGCTGTGCTAATGCAAATGCCGAATGATGGGGAAGGAGGGAGGGAGGGAGGAAAATGAAGTGATGACTGGAGCGAGGTGAGAGACTGTAAAGTTGTTTATCTGCTGAAAAAGAGAGGATGAGTCCCACTAATGGGATCCAGAAAAATGTCTGTTTCTAGGTGGGAGCAGGGACAGTACAAGGTGAACATCAAAAAGACTAATGACAAAAATGGGTCATGACATGTTGCGTAATAAAGGAAAGGTTCATGAGCCCATAGTAGTAGAGATAAAGAGCAGGAAAGGGAAGGCTCTTCTTTATAGAATGTCAGCTGATCCATTTAGAAATCTATTTTGTGACCCCCAGTTGCTCATCAATGGACACACAAGGTGGTTGGTGAAAAATTCTGTGGGACAGTGTATCCATGTGGTCTCAAAGTATCACCTCACAGGTGACTTGCTGATTCTAGAAGCACAATGGTGCAATCAGGCAGGTGTGTCAGCCAAGCGATCCAATTTTCATTGCCAATAGTGAGACGATCTGATTTTATGTGACTTCGAGGTGGTGTGATTAAGACGTGCACAGTGTTCAAGCCTATATGATATTCATGCCAAACCTGTTTAACTGTATCTAGTAATAAGGAAACAGAAAAATCCAAAATGTGGGACATTCTGCAAAACAATTGGTCAGAACCCCTCAATAAATTCAATGTCATTAAGAAAAAACATTGAGAATCTGCTGGAAATAAAGGAGCCTAAAGGGACTTAACATCAAATATGATGAGTGAACCTTGATTAGATCTAGGGTCAAAAAAAAAAGAAATATTGGGATAATTGTACAATTTTGAGTATGAACCATATATGATATAGTATTGAATAAATGTTACTTCTCTTCCTTGTGATAATGGTACTTTGGCTATGTAGCTGAACTGTTTTTTCAGCTTCTTTGTAACTTTGAACATTCTCCAAAGAAAAAGTTTGGTGGGTAAAAGCTCATAAGCAAAAAGAGGCCGGGGTGGTCAGGCTTCAGCCGCGGGACCCCTGTGTTGCTGGGGGTGGGGTGGCGCCCCCTTCTGGCCACACTGCTTTCCTCTCTGTCTATCCCTTTTGGAGCTGATGGGCTGGTGAGAGAAGTGAGCTGGGTTGTGTCCAGGGGCACATGGCAGCTTAGAACACCGGAACCAGAAGGGGCACCTTCTGAGAAGGAGCCAAGCTGGAGTCGTGACAGGACAAGAGCTCTGCTGGCTGCCCCCAGATGCACGGGGCGAAAGTCTGGAATTTGGTCCGTGTCAGTAAGACCCAAGCTGCATGCCTGGGGAGAGACCTGGGTTTCCCGTGCTGACCCTGGTGCTGTGAGGCACTGGAGGGCACGTCACTCCTAAAGAAGAATCAAGAAGTCCCGAAGAAAGAGGTGCGTGTGTTCTGTGTCAGGTGGCAGTTGGTGACCAAGTTGGGTACCTGGTTTGCCTATTTGTCTTGAACAGTGCTTTTCAAACTTTTCAGAGTAATGGGATCCTCTTTTCTTTTTTTGAATCAAAATGTCATCCTGAACCCTCATGCTTAAACCAGGCAAATGTGGTGCTGGGGCCAAAGGCCTCCCACCCTCCCAGCCCCTCCAGCAGGTGCCTGAGGACTCCTGGGCAGGAACCGTGGGTAGAGCAGATGCCGTGGTGCTTCCTCCACTGGTGGACCATCTGGGCAGCCCAAGTGCTGGTCTGTGGTGCATTGGTGACTCGCCACAGAAGAACTGGGGTAGAGAGGAGTAAGGTGGAGCCGGCCCTTTCCCCAGGACTAAAGTCCTTGGGTGGCAGCCACACTTGAAGGACCTGATGATAACTGTCAGGCTGTCTGCGCTGTTTTGTCATCATAGTCTGGCTGGGTTCCTAGGCTTGAGTCACTGTGAGCCAGAGGTCAGGCACCAGTGAGGAGGCCCAGGAGGGGACACCTCATGTGCCGTCAGCATGCCTGCCCCTCCCGGGGACATTGGAGCCCACCAAATTGCAAGATGCCTAGAACTCTGGGTGCCCTTCCCTGGTGTGGTGACTCAGCCCTTTGGAGGAGGTCTGTGGTGCACAAAGACCCGGGCATTGCAGCTGGCTCAGATGTGGGAGCAGGAGACACGCATGGCCTGACTGACTTCTGAAGAGAAGCTTCTCGGAGAACTTCCAGGGCCCTGTTAGCACTCCTGCCGACTGAGGGCAGGGCTGCGCCTTTTTCTTTGACACAGCCATGGGAGATGCTCACTGGGTTTTGAGGACCTGGGATGCCAGGGGGCACTGGCTGCACCAGATGCCACTGCCAGTTGGTCCAATCCTCTGACCACTGTTCCCTGGTCACTGGAGAGAGGAAGTACTCACAGTAAGGGGTGAGGGCTGATGGTACAGTGGCTGACAGTACATTTTGCTCAGCTTCATGACGGCATGTTTGGAGGCAGTTACAACAGAGGCAGCATCTTCTGGAGCCGTATGTTCCTGGGTGAGTGGGAGGCCTCCTGCCCCTAAGGCAGAGGCCACAGTTGCCTGCACTTGTCTTTCTCTTACAGAAGATATCAGCTGCCCCAGACTGCTTTCTGCAGGCCACAGATGAGCTCCTAAACACTTCTCTCTCAGTTTCCTCATCTGTAAAGTACCTGCAATAATGCTTACTTGCAAAGGGTAAATGAGCTGATAGATGCTAAGCACCCACAGCAGTGCCTGGCCCATAATCCTGACTGGAGAGGCAGTGACTCATGCCAGATGGCTTCCCTTTGAATGCCAATCTCTGCGCCCTTGTTCTTTTCTCCCTGGGCCTTGCTGGAGTCATTCCCCTTCCTGCATCTCTTCCTTCCTCTTGGGCTTATGTTTGTTTGATGTCATTATGTTCCTCTGTTCCATAAATCCGAGCGTCTCTCGGCCCTTACCCCCAGGCCTTGCCTCTCTGCACACACCTCACCTCAGAGAACTCGTTCTTACACGGCTGGGAGCCGCCTCTCTGAGAGGAGGCCCACCCCGCCTGTCAGCTCTGCCTTCCTGAGACCTACCCTGCTGGTGGCCCTGCCAGTTTTTGGTGTTGTGTACATGGTGATATTTTTAAATATAGAATACAGATAGTTTATTGGCATATTGCCATTATTTTAGTATTTAAAAATGGGAGATCTGGGTCATTTATGTGAAGAGATATACCCAGAAAGTTCTAGGCTGCACTAGAATTTTTGAATGGGACATAGGTACACTCATGGAGAAAAGATTCCGACCTTTTCCCTCTTCTGTTTAAGCGCTTGCTGAGGCCTCACTCCCATTTCCTAATTACCAGTGAGGAAGAATGTATTTCCCTGTATTTGTTCATCATAGGTATTTCCTTCAGAGCCATTTGAGCCCTATGTGCTTCCAAGGGACCCTGATAGGGTCATCTTGGAAGTGGGGCAGGGACACTAGTGTGAACACGAAGATGGTGTGGGGGGGGTTCGAGGGGAAGACGAGAGGGAATAGGGGAGGCAGGTGTCTGCATCCAATTCGAGTCTTTCACCAGAATCTGACCCCGTCCCTGAGCAGATTCCCTCTCCCCCTCTCCCCTGTGTCCTCCAGAGCCAAACCTCTTCTCTGTTAGAGCTCGACTCTTCCTTCTCTAGGTTAATTTATTCTTACTAGAACCTTCTTCCCCAAACTACCTACCTGAGAGATTCAGTCCTGAGCCTTGGTCATCTCTCAGGTGAAACGGCAAATGGGGACAAAGGGTAGAAGAAAATAATGATGATATCTCTCCTTTTCAATACAATCACTGTTTTTGTTGTAACAAAATAAATGCCAAAATATTGGTAT